TGCAGGCCAGAGGTGCCAGGTGGCAGGGGATTGAGGGGAGGATTCACAGAGACAGCATGAGGAACAGAACAGGTGGATGTACTGAAAAATACACTGCTCAGGGGAGCATCAGGGAGACAGGAGAGGTCTGCTGCACCCTGTGGGTCACTCCCTGGCCGGGGCTCGAACTCATGCTGCCGGGGCTGGTGACAGCTTCATAGCGCTGAGCCTTAACCCTGAGCCACCAGAGCAACCTTCGCTCAGCTATGTTTAAGCCGCTCTCCGTGGATGTATTCCTGGCATGCTGAATCCTCTTCCCTGCATGACGTAGGGGAGAGTGTTTCGTGGTTTGAACACCAGGATCAGAACCACCTTTGTAGAGTTGAGGAGACTGTTCAGAAAAAGGTATCTCGGCCACACGCGGGAAGACCCAGGCCGGGTCCGGGTCCCCCAGGCCAGCGCCGGGTTCTTTCCGTCATAACCTTTGGCCGATGTGCTGGAAATGGCACATAAATTATAATAATGAATTATACTGAATGTGTTAGAAGAAGTATTACAGAAAGTACATTTGTCTTTCAGTTTATGCCTGTCCAAGTACCAAGTGATGAAGAAAAAAGCGACCCCGTCCTTTTTGCCAGCCGAGTCCGGAATTACATGGCAGAGTAAGTGTCTAGAGGCGATTATAATTAGTCATCTTTAAATGATCAGTAATTGGCGTGTAACTTGGTTTTAAAGGGGAGTCCCTTGTTTTTCTCCCGAGGGCCTCATTCCTCCAGCCCTTTCCGGGAAGTGGAGCAATGTGGTCAGTGAGATTATGTGAGATGGGCTTCCCGGGTGCAGCCCCTGCTGGTGCTGTTACAGGACAGGGGGAGAGGGGAGCCCCTGAAGCCCCAAAACTGCCTGCTCTAAGTGGGTTCTGCCATCCGCCGCGTCAAGACAAAACATATAAAACTTTAATGAAAAGGGACTTTAATACAGTGAATATACAATACGGAACACAAAGAATATAACTTCTAAATCAAACACCTGAAGTGACCCATCCCCTGGTGGGCAAAAGTCAGCCCAAAAGGGACTGGCCCAGAGCAAGGCCTGAAAGCCGCCACTAGACTAAAGCACCTTCTGGCCGGGACCCATGGAAAAGGGTCAGAAAGGGCCAGACGAGTCTGGGAGGAAAAGAGCAACATCAAAATCGAGATAAATGCTGCCATAGTCACCTCCCTGCAGGTCTCTCACCCACATCTGCCTTCGCCAGTCCAGGGCCAGGAAACAAGCCCGGTTTCCTCATCACAGGCTCGCTGCTCCCTGTGGCTTCCTCAGGTCTCCTTCTGGCTCTCCATCCTGCTGCTGCCTTCCTCCTCTCCTCAGATTCCTTCTCTTCTCTTTTTCTCTGCTCAACTCCACCCTCCTTCTGGGTGGGCAGGGAACCTGGAACTTCCCCTTTCCCTAGGGGCCCCCTGTTACAGTGCCAGTGTGTCTTTGCCAGAAGAGGGGCAGGAGGTGCCAACAGGGGCCTGCCCCAGGCCGCCCTCCGCCGCCAGGGCCTGTGTGGGCCGCCGCCTCCTGCAGCTGCCGCCCAGTCTGAGCCGCAGCTCCAGAAAGCCGGGCGCTGGGGAGGCTGTGAGAAGTGCGCCAACACGGAGCAGGGTGTCGCCCCCTGAGGATGGCTATAGCGTTGGCTTTTTGAAACTGCAAAATAACAAGCGATTGTTTTCTTGCTCGACAGAAAGTTGCAAGTGGCCACTAATCTGATTCGACAGGCCACTAAAGATGTACTGAGATCCACTGCTCAGGGAGCAGCAGGGAGCCAGGAGAGGTCATGGGAGTTCGGTCATGGAAGGGTCTCCCCCACCCAGGGGCGTGAACCCCGCGGTGTGCGTCCTCTCCCGCCCACGCAGCACCTCTGGAGCAGGTGCGGGTCTCCGAGGCCCATGGAATAGTGGGGTCAGGGGGCTTTGAGCTCACCTGCGCCATCGCAAGAGCACACAGGTCTGTCTTCACACGCGTGTAGACGTGCGCCCAGGTCACACCGGCCGCGGGGGAGTGTCGTCACGGGCACGCAAGGTAGCGAAAGTGACACTCGGCAGACGCTGCCCAGCAAACGCCAGTGCAGCACTCTGCCTGGCTCATGTTGCTCCCAGGCCGGCTACAGGATTTATCTCGTCTTGTTTTCTTCCCTTTATCTGCCTCACGAGCCGAAAACCAGAAGTCAGGGACAAAGACAAGTATTGGGAACTGGGAGTCGGAAACAGATATTTGACTTGCCAAACTGCCTGGACGCAGAGGCGGGCTTGCTGAGGGGCCTTGACTGAATTTGGAGGCGTGGAGGCACGGGGACCCCAGGGAGCTGCGCCTCCCTGGACCAGCCCCCCAAGGCGCCTCAGCCTCCCGTGCAACAGCAGTCGCTCGCTTCGCCTTCCTGGTCTCGTGATTTTGTCATGAGACTCCAGGAGGACAGTGTCCGGTGCAGTCTTTGGCAAATGGCAAAGCACAAGGAGCGATGATGCAGTCGCGCGACTGCTGCTAATCAGCGCGCTCCTCACTGGCCTTGTGAGCTGCCTGTGAACCTTAGAGCAACCCTGAGGGAGTGGGGGGAGCCCAGGGGACACGTGGGCCAGCCGGGCGGCAGGCTGTGGGCTTCGGAGCCGGGGCTCACGGCTGTAACCCTTCGGTCCCGCTGTGGATTATTATGACTCCTGAACTCGTTTTCATTTTTATTTTCCTCCTTTCTTAGTCATTGCTAAGTCATTGCTAATCAAACACCGCCTCGTTTGAGATAGAACACAAAGGATTTATTCTAACTGCCCCCTTTGAAAAGTTTCCCTGTCCTGACGCAACAACAGCAGCTGCACTCGCAGATAAACTGTGCGCATGACTTTCACTGAATATGACAGAATAGAAAGTTGGGGGCTTCAGGAAATTATCTGATATGTTGCACAGGGATTTTTTATTTATTCATTTATTTTTTGGTGTTCAGGTTTTTACATTATTAGTGTATCACTAGTACATAATTTTAAACGTATTAGTACTAAAATCCTTTTTTTTTTTTTTTTTTTTGCTTATATCTGGTCCATGATCAGTGTGAGCAGGAGGGAGGTGTACCAGTTATCATGCCAGGCATTGAGGTGGAGGCTGTTTAGCTCTGAAAGAAAGACCAGCTATCATCAGTTGTTTCTGGGACCTTTAGAGGCTGGTCAGCAGTAAGTAGGTGATCCCCAGCTCTACCAGATGAAAACACAGATGGCTGGAGATTTGCATACATCATTCACTTAGGACTGTGTGTGCCTGCCATTTCTCTGTGCAAACAACACATCCACAAGCATTCTTTTGTTTTTAAGATTTAGTTGTTTATGCATATGAGAACTGGGGTATAGACCACAGGTATGGGGGTGAGAGGATTCACCAGAGACAGAGTGGGGAGCAGAATAGGCGATGCACTGAAATCACTGCTGAGGGGAGCAGCGGGGAACAGGAGAGGTCTGCCGCGCCCTGTGGGTCACTCCCTGGCCGGGGATCGAACTCGTGCTGCAGGGGCTGCCAGCAGCTTCATAGAGGCTCAAACCCTGTGCCACCGGAAAGGCCCTCCACAGGCACGCTGTGCCCCCACTGTGACCCTGTGGAGGAAGGTGAGTTGGTCCTGTGAGTAGATGAGAAGAGCGAGGCTCAGGCTAAGTGCCCAGAGACCACATCTGGGAGACTCTGCCAGGACTTGACCAAGTTCCCCTGTACTTTCTGTGAGACTTGGTCAGTTGTGTGACCGCGACAGTTCAGCACAGAAGCAGACAGCAGGAGATCCACTCAGGCCGTGGAGAGAAATGTCTCTTGAGCACCTCAAAGCCAAAACTACTGGCTTGAAAAGTAGTAAACACCTTGCCGTTCCTGTTGTTTGTGGACCAGTTAGGCCTAATGAAAATAGCATTCCTGCAAAAAGAAGATTGAATTTCTGTTGTGTTTTAATGCTTTTAGAGCCCTGGGGATCCCAGTCACAGACCACACCTATGAAGACTGCAGGCTGATGATTTCAGCAGGGCAGTTGACCTTGCCTATGGAGGCCGGGTTGGTGGAATTTACCAAAATTAGCCGGAAACTGAAGTAAGTGTGCCCTAAAACAACCATGATCCTCTCATGAAGTTGTCCAAAAGAGAGCTGAAATCCTGCACGTTGGGTTTCTCTGGCTTCCCTGCCAGTCAGATCTAGAACCCACATCTTGTTGAGTAGGGAAGCCAGGGCCGTGAATCATCTCCCCGCTAGCTCTTCTCCATTTTTTTTTTGTTTTTTTTTTTTCCAAAACAACCTGCTCTGAAATGTGTGTCTTGCCCGGATCTGCCTCCTGCCCATAAATGACTCAGAGTAGTTGGTCCTGCAACCTTCTCACAGGAGTTCTCATGTGAGGGCCCTCCCTGGTGGCTCAGTGGGTAAGAGAGCAGCACTGTAAGCTGGCAGCAGCTGCTTCCCTGCGAGTTCAATCCCCAGCCCCGGAGGTGACCACATGGCGCGGCAGACCTCCCCTGACCCGCCCGCTGCTCCCCTCAGCAGTGTGCTTCCTCAGTCGGCCTGTTCTGCTCCCCACTCTGTCTCTGGTGAA